CCCCAAGAAAAAAACTAATCAGTACTTTGACTCCTTTTGAACTTAAGAAAAAAGTTAGTTTACATGTCATCCTCCCATTCTGTACCTGAGGTTGATCTTTGAACTTAAAAGCAGAACCTTGCATTTCTCTCTGTTTAATCTTACCCTCCCCCAAAACAGTCACCTGTTTCTCTCACCCTTACCCCCCCCCCCGTCTTATTTTAATTAGCCTACCATGTTAGTGTCATGATATCATTTTGAATCATTGTAGGTCATCTCAATGAAAAAAAAAAGTTTCTTTGTATTACCAGAGAGTGCATGTGCTCACCAGAATCAGAGAGAGAGAGAGGGAGGGAGGGAGCGAGCGAGAGAGAGAGAGAGAGAGAGAGCGAGCGGGCGAGAGCGAGCGAGCATAATCCTATTTTTTCCATTCCTCCTTCCCATTAGGATTTTGGGCATGCATGTTCAGTGTTTCTTAAAGTGTGTTTTTTAAGCTGCCTGGGCCAGGATTCAAACTACTGTTGGCTATATGGGATCTGGCTCCTCCAATTGCTGCACTGTGGGGCCAGCCTGGTCATGTCAAATTTTATCGACCACTCCTAGCGTAGTGTAATCTTGATTAAGATGGCAGCATCTGGAGCCAGATTCCTGGGTTCTGATCCTGGTTTACTAGGCAGTGAGCTTGGTCAGGTTGCTTCCCTGAAGTCTGTTTCTTTCACCTGTAAAATGGGGTATTAATGGGGTCAGTAGGTGGTGGTGTAGTTAAGGCGCTGGCCTTGGTTTGTTTGCTGGACCCAGGGGCTTGCTTTCTCACTCTCTCTCTCTGGCCAAATGGAAGAATAATGATGCTAAATGAAATTAAATAAATATACTTTTTAAAATGGGGATATTAATAGAATTTTTTTGTTGGGTTATAAAAGGATTAAAGGCGGTCCCATACATAAAGCATTAGAACAGGGCCTAATACTTGAGAGAAGTGTTATGTAAGTGTACTGTTATTCAGATTTTGTTCTGGGCTTTATAGTCAACTACCAGATTCTCTGAGTTCCCAGAGTTAGAGTCTCTTATCCTGCAAGCTTGAACTTTTTATTTATATACTTTTTTTTTTTTTTTTTTGAGAGATTTTTGCTAGTGAGGTGTGCACTCGCCAGAGACACAGAGACACAGAGACAGAAAGTGAGAAATCACTCCCCGGGGGAATGGCCACACCACAATCCCTTCTCCAGTTTCTTGGGATTTTGGGCATGCACACACATGTGCCCCATGAGTTTTAAGTTACCAGGTCTGGGATATGAACTGCAGTCGACTATGTAGGAATCCAGTCTCACTTCCCATGTCCTCATATATTTTTGGGCTTCAGAATTCTTTAATTCATTTGATAGAGTTGCTTGGAGAAAAAATATTTTAATATCCTTTTCATTGTAAAAGAATTAGTTTTCATTTAAAGTATATTGGGAAGTACAGAAAAAAGTAAAAAAAAAAAAAAACAGTTTTACCACCTAGATATAACCCCTTTCTTGGTACATTTCCTTCCCTCGCCACATAGTAGATACAAACATAACATGTATTTTTAATGTATTTTACTATTTCTCAGTAATATGGTATAGAAATCTAAGAATTCCATCGTCCTTGTTTTAAACAAATACTGTTTTTTATTGTTCTGAATTGCACTCTGGTTCTTTGTACTTAATGCTTTTTTAGAATTTATCATGATTTCTGATTAATTTGTTTTGTTTTGTTTTTGCTATAGGGCGCTTGTGCTTGCCAGGAAGACAGAGAGCGGGAAAGGCAAAGTGAGAAATCATCCCCCCCTGGGGCATGGCCACCGCAGTCCCTTTTCCTCTAGTCTCCTCTAGAGATTTTAGGCACACGCTCACATGTACCCTGCATGATTTCCAGGCTGCCAAGTCTGGGACTTGAATTGCAGTAACCACGTGGGAATCCAGCACTGTAACCACCACACCACCTGCTGGCCACCCCTCCGCCATTATTTCTAAGGATAAGATTTTTTTGTTTTGGAGAGATTTTTGCTGTAGGGTGTGTATGCTCACTGGAGAGACAGACAGCAAGAAATTATCCCCAGGGGAGATGGCCACACCGCAATCCCTTCTCCTTCATTCTCCTCTCCTCTTGGTATTTTGGGCACTCACGCACACGCACCCGGCATGAGTTTTAGCCGCCGGGTCTGGGACTCAAACTGTCATGGTCAATTACGTGGGAATCCAGCAACATAACTATTATACCATATCCTGGCCCCTCGAAGGATAAAGTTCTCAAGCTAAATTCTGAAGTCAAAAGTCATATAGCTTTTTGAGACCTACAGATTGTTTTTTATTGACAGATGTGATTAAAATAACAGTAGTTTTTTTCTGTCTTGTCATAATCCTGTCAGCTTTTTCTTTTTCTCTTTTTTAAGTATCTGTCTTTCCCTCCCTCCCTGTGTGTGTGAGAGAGAGGGGAAAAGTACGCTCAACACTGGGTCTCCCACTGCTGTCTTCCTCTCCCCAGGCCTTTCAGGCAGCCAGGTCCGTTGGTCCGGCAGGTACCCGGCGTGTGGAGGTCAACTGGAAAACCCAGCAGTGGCCTCCCATGTAGCTTCCAGCGGCGTAGTGTGGTCCAGCTGCTGTGCCACTGTGGCTGGGCTTATCGGTTCTTTCTCCTCATGTTGTGAAGTATAAGTTATAGTTCTTTTTTGTTTTAGTTTACTTTTTAATTTTTTTTCCAAGTCTCACATTAAACTTGATTTTACTTTCTTTGTCTTATTTCAATAAGTTCTTGGTACTAAATTTGTTCTGGTTTATGTAAATATTTTTACGTTTTTTGTAAATGTCTATAAACAAACTGGCTTCTTTTGGTACTTCCTAAGTGCTAGAGTCATTAACTTTGGTAAAGGGAAAACTAAGGAGGAAGAGACCCTGGCTCGTTCTTTTGTTCTCGTCTTGCTGTTTCTTCCTCTAATAATGTAATATTTTTTTTAGACAGGTTTCTTCAGCTGGTGCATATAACTCTGGATTAGGTTCTAACCATCTGTTCCCTAGATTATTTCAGCTGGGTCAATCCAGCAAGCTGCCTTCTTTTTAGCTTAAAAAAAATTTTTTTTTTTTCCCCAGTAACAAGCCTGTTTTATAGGCTAAAATAGAATCAACCTATTTCTTTCTGGAAAGCTTTTCTTGTCTTGTTTCTTTTTGTTTCAGTTTACTTCTTCCGTGAGTCAAAGAAAGACAGCCCCTCGAACAGGGTCTTCCATGCTGGGATCCACTCCTGCCTCAGTCAGTCCCACATGATGGGTAGAAGCATGCTCATGCACTGAGGGAGGTTTCCCCATTGGAACCTGCAGTCTATGTGGGTCAACCCTGTAGAGCATCATGTTTTACCACTGTGCTACTATCTAGCTCCTTTTTATCTTTTCATTTCTTTTCTTAACATTATAACTTTAATAACTACCAGATTAGGCTTTTAATTATAATTGATGGATTATGCATTGAATATTTTATCTTAAATATGTTTACATATGAAATGAGCTTGAACGTTCTCATATTTTAAATGAAAATTGTGTACTCTTTGTTAAACATTTATTTACCTACTGTTAGCACATGAGATTTTAAAAGCGTGTTTATTTACTTAAATGATCAGACAGGAGAGGAGAACCTACATAGGCTTCAACACCACCAGCTTCTATCTTACTTGTGCTGTGTCCAAGGCATTCATGCTGTATAGATGCTTGCAAATTTTGTATAATTGCATGTTCATTTTCACATGTACATATTTTACAACCATGTCTATATTTCATTTATTTAAGATCTGGACGTTGGTAGTTGGCTATGTGTTGGCTGTTTCATTCAAGTGGAATGCAAGCACTGAACGCTACTTGAGAGCAGTTGCGATTCCTGTCTGGATTATATTGCTTTTTCATTTAGGTGGGTCCCTTCTTTTTACAAAAAAGTCTCACTAAAGGGCAGCAGAGGCTGACTGGGTGAATGAAAACGAATTCTTTGTAGGGAGATGTATATATATGTATATGTATGTATACACACACATATTTGTAATTCTTTAAAATCATCTTTAGAGAATGGTTAGCATTATTCTTTAATGAAAATGATTTGACCTATCTATCTTTTAATTATATTACATAATTATTTCCAAAAAGGTCCTTTAAAAGTAAACATTTAGAAAGTGGCGCACACTTGGACTCGTGATTATTTCTAAGTGTTACACTTAAGGAGGGTGGTGCAAATGAGTGGTCAGAATGATAAGAGGGGCTCAGAATCATGTGTGAGAAACAGTTAAAGGAACTAGAGATGTTTACTCTGGATATGTGAGGAAGGGACAAGGCTCTAGGGGTGGGGAGAAGGGAGAGGTAGGGGAGGATATAAAATATGAAGGACTATCTGTAACATTTGAAGCATTGTGCTGTGAAAGAGTGATTTAATCTGTTCTCCATAAGAATGGGAGAGATGTCAGAGCAGTGAGAAGCTTTGGAGAGACAAGTCTCCATTGCACGTAAAGATGATTAGTGTCTGCACTGTTAGTTCCATAATGTGTGAGACTGTTCTCTGCTAGCTGGGTGGCCGCTAGCATGATAAATGTCTTTTAGAGCCACTTTATTGTTAAATGTGAAATATGTCTCTGCTTAGAGTCTAATGTTGAACAAAGCGTTAACCTTCTAGCTTTGTTGAGTTGGAAAGCTAGAGGAGTTTATCTGCAAGATCCCCTCTCATGTTTTATGTGAGTCTTTTTGAATTTGGGGAAAGCAGAAGTCCCAGGAAGGTATGTCCATGAGACTTTAGATGATCTCAGGGAAAGGCCGATGGTTATGAGTAGGGGTCTGTTTTTGACTACTTACTAACATTTTACTCTGAACACTAATAGAGGCTACACTGAAGATTTTGCTGTGCTCTTTTGAGCTAGTCCACCCTTTTTTTTTTTTTTTGAGAGAGAGGAGAATTCATACTCAATTATATTTTCAGAAAAATCGAGTCAGGCTCTGTGACTTTAGGATCCATGCCTGATTCTTGTTATTCTGGGGTGAAGTAGGTGGTTTCAGTTCCGGATGGTCTTAAGCCCTGAAAGTACTTTCGAATGTTCTCAATTCTGCAGATGATAGAAGCTATTAAAGGTAGGCTGGCACTATTCTCAGTCCTGTAGACCGAAGGCCTCTGAGAGAAGGCTAAACTCACAAATTAAGGTTTCATCTATCTGATGGCCTTTTACCACCATTTTTTCCCTGCGAAATAATTTATTGACTAACATACACACCACGTTGTTCTGGCAGTCTACTACCATGAGTATTTTAAAGACAAGTGCTAAGCTTTTATTTTTAAAGTCTCATTTTCTACTAAACCTGTAATTCTTAATCATTTGCAGCATCCCTGGCTGGCTCCTGGAGAATTCCAGTCTTCCTGGTTATTGTTTTCCTGATGTCTGTGGGCACCCTCTATGAAAAGCAAAATGAAAAAGAGTCTTCTGGTAAGAGAGAGGGCATTCTATAATTATTGTTCTTAAGTATGTTGGGAAGCATTTTTATACAAAAGAGTGCTACGATGAAATAGCTTTACATCTGTTTAAAAACTTCTGATGTTTTCTGAATACAAAATAAATTTTAAAGTATTTTAGGTCGTTAAACCATGCCCTGTTTTTTTGTATTTTTTAAAATCTAGGTATAATTCATATGACATACAGTTTAAAAGTGGCATTTAGCATATTCACAGTGCTGCGCAACTCTCCCCATGTATCTAGTTCTAAGATGTTTTCTTCATACTAAAAGGGAAGAAGTCCCCTACCTAAGTGCTCCCCATCCTCCCGTCCCCACAACCACCGTGATAGTCTGCTTTGCCTCTCTATGGATTTACCTAGTCTGAATGTTCCATGTAAATTGTAGCATGTATCAGTATTTTATTCCTTTTTTTTTTTTTGGAGAGGTTTTCGCTATAGGGTGCGTGCGCTCGCCAGACAGACAGAGAGAGTCATAGAGACAGAAAGCGAGAAATCCCCCCCCCAGAGGGGATGGTCACGCCACAATTCCTTCTCTTCCATTCTCCTCTCCGGATCTTGGGCACATACACACACGCGCCTAGCGTGAGTTTTAAGCCACCGGGTCCGGGACGCGAACCACGGTCGACTACGTGGGAGGCCAGCGACATAGCCATTACTCTGACTGCTGGTTCCCAGTATTTTATTCCTTTTTATAAGGCTGAATAAAAATTTATGGGTTGATATGCCACATTTTGTTTATCCATTCATCAGTCGATGGACAATAGGTTGTTTCTACTTTTTTAGCTATAGATAATAGTGCTGCTGTGAATATTTGTTTATACAAGTATTTGAATATCCATTTTCAGTACCTCTGGATATTTACCTAGGAATGGAATTAATAAGTCATATGGTAATTCTGTGTTTAACATTTGAGGAACTGCTGTTCCACAGCAGCTGCACTATTTTCCAAACCCATCACGATGTATGAAAATTCTAATTTGTCCACATCCTTGTCAACATTTATTATTTTCTGTTTTTTTGGTAATGGCCACTCTAGTGGTTGTGGTTCTCTTACTGTGGTTTTGATTTGCATTTCTGTAACAATTAATAATATTGAGTGTATTTTCATAGGGATGTTAGCAATTTGTATATCTTATTTGGAGAAATGTCTATTCAGGTTCTTGCTCTTCCTTTTGTTTACACATTTACCTGTTTATTTTAAGGGGTATTACAAAGGAACAAAGGATACAATGAATGCCCAGGTGGAAGAGAGTCATAGGGAAAGCTATGGGAGAAGGGGCGTGGAGCTTCCATGCTCTCTCTGGGTGTACCGCCTTTTAAGAACTTCTGTGCGTTCTGTCTAGAAGTGCCTTTTGCCCATTTTTTTTTATTGATTGTTAGCCTTTTTGTTTTTGAGCTTTAGGACTTATATAATTGTATGTGTTTGTATTCTTCCCCCGCCCCAATATTAGACACTTATAAGATAAATGATTTACAAATATTTTCTCCCGTTCTGTGGGTTGTCTTTATATTCTCTAGTCTCCTTTGATGTGTAGGAAATTTTAATTTTTTAAAGAATTATTATTTTTTCAAGAATTATTTAATTTAATTTTTTTACTTATTTTAATTTGACCAGAGAGGGACACAGAGAGAAAGAGAGGAAGAAAGAGAGAAAGCAAGCCTCTGGGTCTGCAGTTGCCCATGTGGGAGTCCAGTGCCCTTAACCACCATGTCACCTGCTGGCCCCAAGAATTATTTTTTTAACTTTATTGATTTAGGTATTTATTTAAATTTGACCAGAAAGAGACAGAGCGAGAAAGGGAGAGGGAAAGTGAGAAAGCAAGTTGGCCACGTGGGAGTCCATTGCCTTTAACCCTCATGCCAGCTGCTGGCCCCGGAAATTTTTTAAAAAGAATGATCTATGTACTTAATTTTATTTGTTGTTACTTTTTTAATTTGACTGGAAAGAGACAGAGATAGAGAAAGGGAAAGTGAGAAAGTAAGCTGCCAGGTTTGGGACTTGAACTGCAGTTAGCCATGTGAGAGTCCAATACCTTAACCACTGTGCCACCTGCTGGCCCATAAGTTTTAATTTTGTTGAAGTCCAACTTATCTGTTTTCTTCTGTTGCTTGTGTTATTGTCTTGACTACAAACCACTGGCAAATCCAGTCATGAATATTTGTCCCTGTGTTTTCTTATTTTTTTGGAGAGGTTTTTGCTATAGGGCACATGCGCTCATCAGAGAGACAGAGAGAGAGAAAGCAAAAAATCACCCCCCGGGGGGATGGCCACGCGGCAATCCCTTCTCCTCTATTCTCCTCTTGGGATCTTGGGCAGGCACGCACGCACGCACACTTGAGTTTAAGCTATCGGGTCCAGGACTTGAACTGCAGTCGATTACATGGGAGTTCAGCGACATAGCCATTACGCTAAATGCTGGTCCCTTGTCCCTATGTTTTCTTAAGAATTCGAAATTTTTACCTCTGTCTCTGTATCGCCAGAGGGCTTGTGTTTGTGAGAGAGAGAGAGAGAGAGAGAGAGAGAGAGAGAGAACTCCACAACAGTGTGTGGGCATGCAGTAGTGCTTTTTGTTTCGTTTCTCTATCCTGTTAGAATATTTGGAATACACACACATACGCACTCGCACATGCACACACCAGGCATGAAGGACCAGGATTCCAACTGCAATCACATTGTGAGGTCTAGTTCCTTGTACATAGGGCTTAATCACTGTGCTGTGGGGCTGGCCCTAAATTTTAATCTCTAATATTTAGGTTTTTGATTCATTTTGATCTTAATTTTTTTATATGGTGTGAGAAAGGGTCTGAACTTTTTTTTTTTTTTTCCTGGCAAGTGGTTGTCCATTCCTCTGAAACCGTTTGTTGAAGAGACTACCCTTTTTCTATCGAATACTCTTGGCTCCCTTGATAGAACAGTTTTCCATCGATATGTGGGTTTATTTCTGGACTTTATTCCATTAGTTTGTATGCTGATCCTTATGCCAGGACCAAACTGTTTTAGTTACTATAGATTTGTAGAAGTTTTGAAATGAAGAAATGTGAATTCTCCAACTTTGTTCGTTTTCAAGATCGTTTTTGTCTATTTAGGGTCCCTCGCATTTTCATACGCATTTTATGTATTTTAAGATCAGCTTTCTATTTTTTAAAGATATTTTTTGCCATAGGGCATGTGTGTGGGCTTACCAGAGACAGAGAGACAAGGAAAGTGAGAAATCATCCCCCAGGGGGGATGGCCACACCACAATCCCTTCTCCTCTGTGATTTTTTTAAAATACAAAAAACTGGATTATAGGGAACATTTCATTTGTAACTGTGTGTGTGTATATATATATATATGTATAAATATTTATATGTATATGTATATACATATACATATATTCACACACATATAAATATATACAATTTATTTATTTTTAAAAAATATTGCCAGAGGTCTTATGTGTTTACCTGAGAGAGATAGGAGCTGGGAGGAGGGTTGGGGAGAGGTGAGTGAAGGAGTGAAAAAGCACCTCACCTGGGGAATAGTGCTGCAGTCCCTTCTCCATTTCGTCCTCCTTTTAGGATTTTGGGCATACATGCACATAGACCTGGTGTGTTTCATAAGCTTTTAGGTCCTGTCTGGGACTCAAACTGCACAGTTGGCCATGTGGAATCCAGCTGTCTTTTTTTTTTTTTTTTTGTTATAGGGCCTGTGCACTCGCCAGAAAGACAGAGACAGAGAGCGAAAAATCACTCCCCAGGGGGATGGCCACGCCACAATCCCTTCTCCTCCACCCTCCTCTCGGGATCTTGGGCATGCACGCACACGCGCCCAATGTGAATTTAAGTCACCAGGTCCAGGATTTGAACTATTGTCGACTATATGGGAGTTCAGTGACATAGCCATTATGCTAACTGCTGGTCCCAATCCAGCTGTCTTAACCACCATGCCACAGGCTGGCCCTATGACTCACGTTTTAAACTAAATTATGTCATGAATATCTTTCTATGTCAAGAATATAATTCTCCAACATTAATTTTAGTATCTTTATTTGTGAGGCTAATTGTGGCATTCTGGTATATTTAAATGTACAGCTATCTTATAAAAGCTTTTTAAAAATTATTTTAATTTTATTATATGTTTTATCTTTATTATTTTATTTGGTAAATGAGGCCTGAAAATTGTAAAAACACCTTTTTATTTATAGATATATGTTTAGAATTTTAAAATAATTACCCACAGGGAAACCTTAATGGCATCTCTCTCTGATAGTGGAAAGCAGGGAAGATTTTATTTGATTCTGTATCTTGCTGTCTTTTTAAGTTTTCCTTGCTCAGCCTGTCTTCCTTGTTACAATCTGTTAGACTTTGTGGTCACATATCAGGTAAGCGGAAGTACATTTCCTGTTCTGGCAATGACTATAGAAAGCTTAGTGGTTTCTACTTGTTCCTCTGGTTAGCTTTGTCTCCTTTCTGTTCTTTCTCCTCGTAGTAAGTGATTCAGACAGCCTTACTTACCCTTCGTCCCTCAGTGTAGGATGGTAGGATGGTTTTCTCTTTAAACTGCTTTTGTCCAGGGCTAAATAAATACTTTATTCCAGTATATGAATAATGTGAATCTAGGCTATGGATTTTGGTTAGGTTTCTGCTAGAGTGTAAATTCTATTTTTTTAAAAAGGATTATCTAATTTATTATTATTTTTCCAATTTTCTATAGGGCATGTGTGTGTGTGTGTGTGTGTGTGTGTGTGTGAGAGAGAGAGAGAGAAAGAGAAAGCAAAGTGAGAGAAAGTGAGAAAGCAAGAAGCAAGTTGCCAGGTCTGGGACTTGAACCACAGTTGGCCATGTGGGAGTCCAGCACCTTACCCACTGTGCCACCTGCTGACCCTATGAGTGTAGATTGTAACACCAAGTTTTGAGCCTGAGAAAAATGAAGACCGTGGTAGATTACTATCATCAGCCGTAATTCCAGAAGAGTGGTGTGTTGATGTGCA